TACATCTTTGGATAAATTCACTTATGATTTGTTTGGGCTCCTCAATTATGTAGTATTTCTTTTTTTAATCCTCTGAGATAATCTACTTGAATGAAGCAAATGTAATCACAAAATAGAAATCAGCCCCATTCATATTAGGTATACACCATATATAAGTGCTATATCTCATAAAGCAGAAGGGGGTAGCAGTAGGACTGCCAGATAAAATACAAGACGCCCAGTTATATTTTAATTTCAGAGAAGCAATGAAGAATCTTTTAGTGTAACTGTCTCAAATATTTCATGGGATATACTTATACTAAAAATGTATTCATTATTTTTCTGGATTTCAAATTTAACTGAGTATCCTGTATTTCAATCAACTAAATCTGGCAATGTGGAGGGTGAACATTGGAGCAGTAATGGAATGGAATAATGTAGAATTTAAGAGTGGAGGTGAGTTGCTAGTCTGAGAAGATAGGTATTTGGTACATGGTGGCTGCCCAATGGATATTTGTGGAAGGAAGGAAAGGAGGAAGGGGGGAAGGGAGAAGGCTATAAAACAATGCAGGCATCATAAATGGTACCAGGTACTTGAGGGATCAGAGGAGGATAAACCAATATCCACTAGAGAAGATGGCATTTGAGTGGTAGCTCAAATGTTTCTTCAGAGTCAAGCATGGTGGTACATGTCTATAATAATAGCAATTTGGGAGGCTGAGGCAGGTGGATCACAAGTTCAAGGCCCTTTCTCAAAAATAAAAAATGGGCTGGGGATGTAGCTTAGTGGTAGAACATACCTGGGTTCAATCCCCAGGAATACACACACACACACACATACACACACACACACACACACACAGTTTCCCCAGATAAAGATGCAAGAAAAAGGTAGAACACAAGATAAAAATGTGGTAAAGGGTGGGGTAAGGAGTTGGGAGATATTTGGGAGCAGATCATAGAGTCTGTATTAAGAAAACTAGGTAAGAAGGTGGTAATGCAAGAGGACACTAGAGCAACTGCCCAGCTATCATTTGGGTGCTTATTCAGTGGCTAAGGGGGAAATGCATAGGGTTATTAGTTTTCATTATGATCAGAGATATGGAATTCTAAAATGTTTATTCATTTGCTTAAAGGCAGGGGCTAGATTATCTATATTAAAAAAGTTATTCTTGTGAAACCAAAACTCTAAAGATAACATTTTTGAAAAATAATAGAAAAACTGGAATAGTGATTTTAGTGGAGTAATACAGTGAGGGCAAAGGGAGGTAAGGTACCCTATCGTGTTGATCACTATTAAGGCTCTTAGTTTTTTTTTTTTTTTGATACAAACTTAGTAGACATGATGATAAGAGAACATTCGAGTTGTATATTTATTCACCTAAGAAGTGCCTCCCTCTAGTCTTGGATGTACCCAAGGTCTGCAGTGATACAAAAATGAAATAAACATACTTACAATTAAGATAGATGTAAGAGGTTGGAAACTTACTTCTGGAAGGTGAGTTCCTAAAAACTAAATTTAGTGCTAGGAGCCAAATCTAAGGCAGGTCCCTATTGAATGACGTGAAAACACACTAAACAAAAATGGTTATATGGCCACTTTGATCTAAATCATAGGGGAATGTTAGAAAGTTAAAGCTTACAGAATATAGTCAAATAACAGGGCTTTTTAAAAGGAAGAGAGATGTAAAATACGAAGATGAGGACAAGCTGGAAAGGGGGCACTTGATGCCTGGACATGTGTCCCTGTTGTCATTAGGGGCACTTAAGAAGATGAACATCTTCAGAAAACTTAAAGGGCAGACATGATGCTTTAGTTGTTTTTTCCATTTTGTAACATTATTTTGGCTTATCTACCTTGATGATCCAGCTGCTTTTTGTTGTGTGCCAAAGACATGGCATCCTGCCCATTTTTTGACATTCCAGAATAAACTCCTGCCATTTATCATGGAAGACTAAAAACACACAAATTACAATAAATAGAATTTTTAATCCTCAAAGGACACAGTTGAGAGATCCCAGGAATATATTATTGAAAGCTCTCATGTGCAACTATACATTTCAAATGGCCCACATCAGTTTTCTGATTAACATGCGATTGTGATGTTGGAATCCTGGTTAACAAAAAATTTCTTGTGTAGTGTTAGCCCTGCCTTTTCTCTCCAACCCATGAATGGTCAGGATTCTTTTGTTATTACAAAGAACTTCCCTGGCCTCTCCTAAGAAATATCTGGTGAGAGGAGTATGGGAGCTTGAGATATGCAGGCTCCTGGGAGGGACAGGTAAGGCTGTGATGCTGTCCTTACAGTGGGGATTGCTGTTGGACAAGTGGCCCTCTCTGGAAATTTGCCCTTAGAACAGAGCTAGGCTGTTCTTTTGAAAGAGCTCCATAGTCAGTCTCTCTCCTTTTCATGGTGGCTGGCTCTTCTGCCCATTTTTATTCTGTTTTGCCTATGGCTCCTTTCCTTCCCTTAAGTAATTTATGGCTACAGTACAGTGATATACATTTCAGTGAAAATTATGGAAAGTAATGGTATTTAGTTCATGTCTGAAATCTCAAATTCAATTTTTTTCTGCCATTTGTTAGGACATGACCTTGGCCTTGGCAACTTAAGCACTCAAAGTGCTCTGAGCTTTGGTTTTCTCATTCATAAACTGAATATTCATATTTCATGTATTAAGTGTCTCATGGGATTATTGAAGATTAAATGAGAAAATGTAACTGAAATTCTATCCTAGGGCTATGATGATGATTGTGATTATTATTATTTAAAAGCCCAGTGGGTGGGCCAGTTCTTCATATCTAGAAAAATATAGGATTCCTCTTCAGAGTCTTACAGAACAAAAACCAGCACTAACTTGCTTATTTGAATTTTTATAATGAACTACAAATGCAAGATAGATGGAAGTTTTGAAGAAGCTCCTCACTATTGAGTTAATCTTATATAGTTTAAAAACTGTCACAATGTAAGTATTTTTAAAAAGGTGTATAATGGATCCTGAAAATACCTGAAATGCCCATCCTTTTATAGATGTTTAAGTATGCAATTTGTTCTAAATGTCTAATCTTGAATGATTAAATAATTTGCATACTGTTTTCAGTGGCATGAATTAAAGGCTAATTGAAGAATATTTTTTGCAGTAAAATTATATCATCTTTTATGTAGTACATTTAAAAATATTCTAGGCCACTTCTAATTTTATAGCTTTATTATTTTAATTTAATGTACCAAGTAATTAAAAATTGCTACAAAGAAAAGAAGATGAAAATGATTTTAGTTAATTTCCCCTCAACAGAGTGAAAAGATGATAAGTGGAGTAATGGAACAGAGCCCAGCACAGTTCCTGGCACATAAAGATATTAATTAAATGTTCCTTAATGAATAAGGAATGAATAATTTCTAAGTATTTCTAGATTTTGGAAAAGGCACCATTCTCAGTACCACATAAAATACAAAGAAGATAGGTTGACATCTTTATATTAAAATACCTCCATACAAAGGTTACACAAGCCAACTATTATTGAACCCTGAGATCCTCAGGTTGTTCTGCTCGCTCTTGGAGATGGTTCTCAGGCCCAAGTCAGTTATACATGTTAAGAGACAATTCTCCATGGGTATCTTGCATTTTTGTACCTTTCGCTGAGGCTCCTTGTTCTGGACTCTCTTCAGGGGCATTTATATATACAAACAGCTTTGGAAGACAAAGACAGTCTCTCCCTCTAGAGCACAGTGAAGATTTTGCTAGTTTGCATTTAGCCTCAGAAGATAGAGGTAGTGTCACCCTCCAGAACAAAGGGCAAATGTGCTTACTGCCTGTTGAGTTTAATAAGGCTGTTTATCGCTCACTGTAGCAGATTCGGGTTCCCTAAGCTCTAGCATCCTCTCCTGTCCTATAACCTACTGGGTGTGCAGCTGTTGTCTGGTTCATATTGTGTCCTCCAGTGGGAATTGGGGCTTAGGAAGCTGGTGCAAAAAAATGCAGATGTTCTATTGCTACTGTTACTGCTACTAAGTAATAAACTGCCCTTTTTCTCAGAAGCAAGTGGGCATCTGAAAGAAGGGGATGATGGGATGAGATTAAAAACCTTTCTAAGCAACTCAGTGAGACCCTGTCTCCAAATAAAATACAAAGTAGGGCTGGGGATGTGGCTCAGTGGTTGAGTGCCCCTGAGTTCAGTCCCTGGTTAAACAAAAACAAGATTTAACCCAGAGTGCTGGGTAAAACTATGAAGCCTCCTGTGACCTCCACCTGATGGCAGTGGTTGGATGGAGGTGGACAGAGGCTGTAGAGGAAGAAGAAAGATTAAATTGATAGAGGGAAAAGAAATCATGAAGCTTCACATTAGCCTAAAGTCATTCATACTTATCGAAGCTGTAAATCACCTTGTTGGCACCTAACATACTTCAGCTTATTGACTTTTTTTTTTTGAGCTAAGAATATGTATTTTTATGAGCACTCTGCTTTGGGGCCTTAATGCCTTAGTTAGTTGCATACATTGAGTGTTAGTGGCTGAAATTGAACCTGTTTATTCTATGAAGACATGATGGCAATGTGGCATTTTTGGTCACTCTTCTTATAGTCTTCTTTTTTCATACCTTACCCCACCCCAGTATTTATGGTTTATTAAAATATCTTCCCTAACACCACTCAGACCCCTCTACTGATGTGCCAGGCTGGTCAAAGAACTCTGGACCTGCACTGGGGTTGTGGCTCAGTGATTGAGCACTTGCCTTGTATGCATGAAGCACTGGGTTCAATCCTCAGCACCACATAAAAAATAAATAAATAAAATAAAGATATTGTGTCCATCTACAACTAAAAAATTAAAAAAAAAGAACTTTGGACCTCTGAGGTCTCAGCTCCCTCTGACTCCCTTAGAGTTTGAATGTACTAAATGCCTCCTAGGACAAGCCCTTTGCCCTGTTGTTGGAAGGCATATAGAATTTTTACTAAGATGTACTGTAACTTCTTGTTAGCTGCTGCATGATATAACAGTTGTCTTTTACTTCATGCCACAGGGACTTTTATCCGCCGTCATCGGATTTCTCTCCCACCCCCTGATGATGATCAGTTTTATACTGTATATCATTTCAATATCAACACAGATGTTGTCTTCTATGGCCGGACATTCAAGATTTATGAATGTGATGCATTCACAAAAAACTTTTTGAAGAAAATAGGAGTGAAATTAAATCCCCCTGGACATTGTCCAGAAGATCCTTATATGAAGGTGCGGAGAGAGGTAAGAAATTGATGCGTCTGTGAGTTCTTGTCTTGGAGGGTTAGTAAAGGGTGTTCCTGATGCAGCTGGGAAAGAGCTTTTGGGGCCATCATTACTCGAGTTGTCCTGTTCTCCTTTGGGTTGAAGGGAAGGCTACGAGTTGGCCTCAGAACAGGAATGATTGCTTAACTAACCACACATACCAGTTTTTTCTGTGGAGTTTCTTTTCCAGGCAGGAGCATTCTGTGAGCTGCTTAGGTGGAACAGTTTCTAGGAGCCCATGATTCCCTTTGTGATCACTTAGAGCATTTAAGTTGGGCCCACAGTTCCATGGCTTGTCTCTCCTGGGTTTAGTTACTTAACACTGGCTGGAAAAATCTTTGCTTCTCTGCTACTTACTTACTATACCAATCCTTGTGGGTCTACCTTTTTCTTCCTCCTTAGAATTCCCATCTCTTCTTATGGTGACATTGAATGCTGAAATGTCCTGAAATAGTGAAGAGGGCCATGATTCTATTGTCTCCCTATTATGAAAAGATGCTTTTCTTCAAAGTCTGATCCCAGTTACTAAAGGGAGTGAAGATTTAGTATTATTGTTATCTTTCTGCAGATTTTAAATGATTCTTTGACCCAAATTTTATGTTTTCTAAAAACATCTAAATATCCAAAAGGGGAAGTGTCATTGGAAGTCACATACCAAACTAGTCTTCTTGCTGGGTCTGAATGCAAATCTCTTAAGTCTTACCTTGATTTTTGTTATTGTCATTTGTTTCCCTTTTCTTTTTTATTGACATATGATTATACACAGTGAATTACAGACATTAAATATACTAATGGATGAATCTTAACAAATGCATATACCCATACAACTTATACCCAAATTGAGATGTTGAATATTTCCATCCCTCCAGAAAGTTCTCTTACACATTTTTCTAATTAGTTCCTCTCCCTACCCAGGGACAACCACTAGTCTCATTTTTATTCCTATAGATTCCTTTCATCTGATTTTTATTGTTTTAAAACTTAGAATTCATTTCCTTACAGAAAGATAACAAAATTTAAAATCAAATTCTCCTTTGATTTCTTGTTAAAAGCTGCATGTAGGATTATTAATCTATACCTGTCTCCTAGTATCAGCCAAATTATCCTTTAATGTTATAGGCATACAAACCTCCTGAGAATTATACATACGTATACATGTATATGTATAAATAAAATTTATATAAAACTGATTCTGCAGTATCTAAGATAAAATGAAGGTGTATCAGCGTATAAAGAGATTTTTTTTTTGGTTTAGGCTCATTTTTATTTTTTCCAAATGTCCTAGACAAAAGAGTCTAGATAAATACAAAGTCATTAGAAGCACCAGAGAGATCCTGAAGGAAGTGGACTCATTTGAATTACCACCCCTTGCAAATGGCTCAACTCATTCACTACCAGTTGGTATTATATGATAGCAATTGTGAATGGTGATCTCTTATATGAAATTGCAAAAAGCACTGTAGGATTTTTATAAGTTTATAAAGAAAAAAGAAGTATTCTGCCAGGAATTGAGAATAAATACCAAGAACAGCCAAGAAATGGTTTTAAATAATTTTCTTTCTGATTAGGAGGATCATTTTAGCATTTATTCCCTCAGGAATATATTCTATATTCAGTGAATATAGAAACCTTGGACAATTAGCCAATATAACCTTTTATATGGACTTTTATGCATTTAGTTCTTTAGTGTTTGCTGCCTTGAAATGTAAAATTAGACAATTTAACTTGAACTGAAAAGGATCCCAATGGTGTATAATCAATACTGCATTTCTAAGAGATCATCTAGTCCCCCCACAATATTTTTTTAATCTATGAAAGTGGTGGTTCCCTAATTTTGTTTAAATATCAAGAATAAAGACTGAAGAGTCTATGGAAAGCCATTGTATTTCCCCCTGTCTTGGGGGGTAAGATTGTACTTAGACTGCCCTGGACAGATAGAACATTTCAAGAATTTCCAAAATGATTACATAACCCAATTTGGGACAATACTTCCCTTGCCAATGAGTACTTCCTTATATAACAATCCTATTTAGCTTCATCAGTTAGAATGGAGGCAGTTTTGCTCCAAGATGGGGCTGAGAACATGCAAATGGAGGGGAGAGCTATACCAAAGAATACTGCAGAGCTCTCTGTTTCTGGGGCTGAGGATAGGTGACATGGGCTTCTGTGTGGAACAGAAGTTCTCCATTTGCTCCTCTTCCATTTCCAAAATAAAATCATGAATATATTTCTTCTTTTTTACCTTCATAAAAATCTGAATGACTCAGAAGCATTCACAGATATGAAGTTCCAGTGAAAAGACACATGATTTTATTTAGTTGAGTTATAATTAGCATAGGATCAAATTCATAGTATTAAAGCATACAGGTCAATGAGTGCTGGAAAATGCATACAATTGAGTAATCCATTGGACTGGGACCGGAGATGTAGTAGAGTGGTAGAACATTTGTCTAGCATATGTTAGTCATGCATTCAGTCTACAGCACTGCAATGAAAAAAAAAAAAGATGTAGAGTATTTCTATCACTCCAGAAAGTTCCTTTGTCCCCCTTTCTGACCAAATCCCCTATCTAGAAGCAATTCTATTTTGATTTTTGTCACCATAGGTTAATTTTGTCCATTCCCAAACAAAAGCTTTAAGTCTTTGAGAAAAGTCAGTTTTAAAAAACATTACAGAAGGATAATTTGGTGTATTAAAATAATGTTTAATAAAGTAGGAAAAACTTCCTGATGCTTGTCAGTATACTTAAGGGTAAAACTGGTTATAGATGCATACATATGTAAGTCATAGCCAGTTGAAATCTTTAAAAATATCATAGAATAGTCAATAGAAAATGTATCTTTATGTCATTTTATTGCTTCCATCCCAGAAGTGACTATGCAAAACCTGCAACTATTTCTGACATTTTCTCCATTTGCAGAAACTAGACTGTATAGATCCCTTTCGTCCTTATGAGTCCTTTGACACTCTGAAACAGTTCCTCCAATATGATGGGAAGGTTTTGCGATTCTTTTGCCTATGGGATGACTCAGACTCGTTGTTTGGGGACCGGAGAGAACTCGTCCTGCATTACTTCTTGTCTGACGATACTGTGGAAATCAAAGAAGTGATACCACACAACTCAGGCCGAGATGCTGTGTCATGGTTCCTCCGGAGGAGTAAGCTACCCAAGGTCAGCAGTGGATACACAACCATTTTCTAAGTTTGCTTGTGGGTCAAGAGATCTGAGTCACTATTGGGAATGTTGTGTGTTATGACTGTGTATTGATAGTTACCCTTTTATAGTAGTGCAATTTAGAAAATTTTCATCTTGTGTCCTCTGTTAATATACATCTATGAAAGTAATCTACAGAATCTGACCAATTAGAATTGAAACATTCTGGATTTAAGGTAAGTAAAGGTAAAAAGTAAAATCTAAGAGAAAGCACATATTTGCCATTGAGTTCACAATCAGTCAAATGAAAGTAAAGGACTCCCTAGTAAAAGATTTGCTCATGGCCTTGGATGGGGCATTGTGTGTGTGGCCCCTAAAGCTCTCCTGAGGCGAGCCCATGGTGTTGGTCTGGGTTGTGAATACTCATACAAATGTACCCATGTTTGTGTGTACACGTGCACACACACGTACACAAGTATATGCACAGAAGTGAGTGATTCTTCCAAGTGTAGTGACTAGTTACATAACTAGCCACTAGTTAGTGTCAGTAACAGCTTTTGCATTTTATTTACTATTAAAAGGCATTGTCAGTGCTGGAGTTGTGGCTTAGGCAGAGTGCTTGCCTCACACATGTGAGGCACTGAGTTTGATCCTCAGCACCACATAAAAATAAATAAACAAAATAAAGATATTATATCCATTTATAACTAAAAAATTTTAAAAAGATATTTATTTAACAAAGCATTGTCAGACTGATTTCTACAAATACTTTTGGTAATTTGAGAGCTATTGAAACTTGGGTGCAGCAGGAGCAACACAAAGGCAGGTTTGTATTAGAATTAGGGATCTGCCTCTTAATAGCTATGTGACCTTGGGCAAGTCACTTAACCTCTCTGAGCTTATTTTACCATTTCTAAAATGCAGTTAACAGTGGTTCCCTCCTGAGGTAAATGTAAGGATTGAATAAGAAAAGATAGTAAACAACACTATCTAAGGACTTGTTAATATCTATAAGGTGTTAACACTCCTCCATGTTATATTTTATTTCTAATTTAGATAAGGTATTTTTAACTTAGTTCTTAGTATTCCTGAAAAGGTTACTGTAACACTCATTTCCTATGCACACAACCGCTGGCCATTTGGTCCTCACAGAAGGTTCTCCCAGATTCTGTGAGCCCGCTGCCAGAAAGTCCTGCTGCGTTGCTTGGAGGCAGCGGGAGGCAGAATTTATTCCTGAGGAGGCCTCTGGGGTATGCACAGTAGGTGGCCAGGAGGAGCCAGGGAAGCCCATTTTTAGAATGACTTTGCAGATAGGCTAAATATAAAATAATAATGATATACATTTGCAGTATGCCTTGACATCAGTTACTTCATTTCTTTTATTTATTTATTTATTTTTAAAATTGATTTTATTTTTTTTAAATACATGGCAGCAGAATGCATTACAATTTTTATTACACATATAGAGCACAATTTTTCATATCTCTGGTTGTATATAAAGTATGTTCACACCAATTCATGTCTTCATACATGTACTTTGGATAATGATGACCATCACATTCCACCATCATTGCTAACCCCCTGCCCCCCCCCCTCCCCCTCCCACCCCTCTGCCCTATGTAGAGTTCATCTATTCCTCCCATGCTCCCTCTCCCTATCCCATTATGGGTCAGTCACCTTATATCAGAGAAAACATTCAGCATTTGTTTTTTGGGGATTGGCTAACTTTACTTAGCATTATCTTCTCCAACTCCATCCACTTACCTGCAAATGCCATGATTTTATTCTCTTTTATTGCTGAGTAATATTCCATTGTGTATATATGCCACATTTCTTAATCCATTCATCTACTGAGGGGCATGTAGTTTGGTTCCACAGTTTAGCTATTGTGACTTGCACTGCTATAAACATTGATGTGGCAGTGTCCCTGTAGTGTGCTGTTTTTAAGTCCTTTGGGTATAGACTGAGGAGAGGGATAGCTGGGTCAGTTACTTAATTTCATTTATTTGTTCAACACATATTTATTGAGGACCAACTGTGTGCTACCTTGGAGGTTACAGTGAGAAAGAAAATGGATTAAGTCCTGCTTCATGGAGTTTTGGTTCCTGCGGGGAGAGATACAAAACACATGGATATTCCCTTGAAACTCACAGCTTCTTTTCAGAAAGGAAACAGTTAAGTAACGTTGTAGTGAAAAAGATGAAGGAATTCAAGTTCTGAAAAGATAAATACATTGTCCCAGGTCCTATAGCTAGTAAGTGGTAAAAAGAGAGTTTGCATCCAAGTGTACTGTTCTACATTATGTGACCTACTTATACCACATGCATCATAAATTTCACACATTTAGACTTCCATTTTATGTCACATGTATCAGGAAAGATTCAGATTTCTTGTCCATAAGTGATGCTTTTGATCACGATTAATTCACATAGTTAATTAAGGTGTTTCCTGCAGCTCACACAACTGCTTGGGACCACCTGGAGCCCAGAATGCAGGACTGGGCAGTACCCTGTCTTGCCACAGGCCGGGTTTTCTGTTAGAGGCTGATCCAAGTCTATTGCTCCTTCCACTTCACTGCACTAACTCTGTGGGCCAGCAGGTACTCTATTCACTGAGCTCAGGATGAGGCAGGGTGCTAATCAGAATAAAGAAGCCAAGGAGGCAGGGGTTCTTCCTTGGGGAGGGTTGTAATTTAATGAAGAGAAAAGATGGCTGCTGATTAAAACATTAGAGAACCAGAGAAAGTGGTAGAACCCTGTGGTAGGTGCTGGTGAGGTTTGGGTTGAGGATAAGTAATGGATTGAACAGTTCTCAGTGTGTAGATGGCTACCTGTAGAATGGGAAGGGTTGAGGGCAAAACAGGGCTTTATCAGGGCCTTAAAGAATGCATGGAGTGTAGGCCAGCCCACAAGGGCTATGGCAGTGTAGGGAGGCGTGGTGGACTATGTGTCTTCCTCTGGATGGTAGAGAAGAACCATATACTGCATATTTCCTACATGTGTCCCTGAAGTACACTGTCTCTATGTTCAGAAGCCATCCGCCTTGCTTTGATTTTGTATTCCAGCATGGCCCACCTGGGATCTATCAACCAGGCCAGATAACAGACCGAGCAGTTCTCAATGTGTATGGTGGCTTCACAGATAAGCGAGTGGATGGCTACCTGTTAGATAAATACAAGGTAAGGATCCTCATGTTTTATTACTGTTTTCAGTGTGTCTTCCCTGGAACCTGAACAGTGGGGTGAGTTACATATTCATCCCTGGTGAGAGTATTAATGAAATCAATGAATATACAAATATATACATTGTACTGGCATTTATCATATAAATAATGAGCCTGCATGCATACAGAAATACATGTATTGCATTGCTCTTTGCAATTACTACAGTGCTAAAATAATGCTTTCAAATGTTAACACTGATTGGTTACTTTTGGATTTGATTTTTAAACATTAGTTATAAATAATATAATTGAAGTGTTTTTCCCCCTTTGGGAGCGGGTACCTAGTTCTTTAGAAGGTCCATGGTGCCAATGCTATGTTCCTTTGTTTTTCTTAGCTAGGAAAACTAGACCAAGAGTATTACAAAGATAGTGACCTGACTGTAGGAACCTACATCAATGTGTGGGGAAGGAAAGTGCTCCTCTGCGACTGTGATGAATTTACAAAGTCTTATTTTAAGGCTAAATATGGAGTTGGTAAGTGATACTTATGCTAACTAGAGAATATTTTCCAATTTTGACTTTTTGTTCCTAGCTATGCTTTTACTTCTGAGTTTCAGATGTTAAGCTCATAATTGCTATTGTTTACTGTGCATTTGCTAGCTCTGGGGCATTTGTTATCTTACATATTCCTAACAACAATCCTTCATGGGTAGACTCATCATCCTCATTTTTTAAAAATATTTTTAGTTGTAGATGGACACAAGACCTTTATTTTATTTTTATGTGGTGCTGAGGATTGAAGCCAGTGCCTTCAAATGCAAGGCGAGCACTCCATCATTGAGCTACAACCAGCCCTCATTATCCCCATTTTTTAAAGGCAAAGAAATTGAGACTTAAAGGAACTCATTTGTCCAGTCATATAGCAAGCAAAGAATGAACCAAGATCTGAACTTGTCTGCCTGATCCCAGGGGTTTCTATTTTTTTTCCCTTATGGCTGTCTGCCTCACTGCGATATGGGGTAAATGTTTAAGTTGGTCAAATAAAATGGAAATCTAAGTGCTTTTTATTCAATTCTTGCTTACTGCAATAGAAACATTTCCTTGAATTCTCTAGGGAATTCTCTTGTGCCAATTTGTTTCACCTTTCCTGATAAGGCTCAGACAGGTTTCTAGCTTCTCCCTTCATAGATATCAATTCCATTCCAATCATATTAGTTCAGTTCAGAATAAAAAGTAGTGATTTATTAAAGCACCTATTATATACAGGTCAGTGCAATAGACTCAGGAGATAGAGAAGGATTGAGAAGGGGTTTCTAGGCTAGAAGGGAAGTTGGGACCTACAGTATGATACATGGTGTTATGAGAGTCCTAGAAACAGGTGGAGGATATGATGTAAAATCCGAAACCCAAGCCCTCATTTATTAAACTCCTACTTTTAGGAATTTAATAATAATAGGAAGGAATGCTGACCAGCTCTGCCCGCTTGCTAGGCCCTCTACCCAGGCTCCAAGTATGCTGCTAGGAGTTGATGAGAGTTTCTGACCTCCCAGGTCGGGGTTTAGAGCTGGGATAGGGATGCTTAGTCCTATAGGTAATCCCTCAGTATCCACAGAGGACTGGTCCCAATTCCCCCCATACCAATATCTCAAGATGCTCAAGTTTCTTATATGTGAAATGGCATATAGTATTTGCATACAACCTACACATATCCTCCTATGTATTTTATTTTTTTAATATTTTTGAGACTGGATGTTATGAAATTGCTTTAGCTGATTTTGAACTTGCAATTCTCCTGCCTCAGCCTTCTAAAGAGCTGGGACTACAGGTACATGTCACCATGCTGGGCTACTTTAAATCATCTTTAGATTACTGATGATACCTAATATAACATAAATGCTATGTAAGTAGTAGTTATACTATATTGTTTGGGGAACAGTGATAAGAAAAAAAATATATCGGAACATGTTCAATACAGACACAGTTTTCCCTGAGTATTTTCAGTCTGTGCTGGTTTAGTTCAGGCATGCAAAAGCCACAGATTTGAAAGGGTGACCATGCTTCCCTCTGAAGCTTGGAGCATTCATATAAACACACTTTCCTGAAGGGTGAGATGGAAGCCAGAAGGAATCACAGCTTCTTAAAAGATCGGGTGCTGCCTGGTGTGGTGGCTCACGCCTGTAATCCCAATGGCTAGGGAGGCTAAGACAGGAGGATCTCAAATTCAAAGCCAGCCTCAGCAAAAGCAAGGTACTAAGTAACTCTGTGAGACCCTGTCCTTAAATAAAATACAAAATAGGGCTGGGGATATGGCTCAGTTTTCAAGTGCCCCTGAGATCAATCCCCAGTATCAAAAAAAAAAAAAACAAACAAACAAACAAACAAAAAAACAAACTGGGTGATTTGTCTGTAGAGAGACAAAAGCCCACCTTATGTGTCTTGGTGTCCCTATTGTGTAGCATTCCTGGCCTCCTGGGAATTTTTCTAGTGAAAGAGAAGGAACACAAAATATACAATGGGTTTAGATTAAAAAAGGTTTTCAGTTTTACTCTTAGGTTCATTAAGGGAGCTTGTTCCGCTGCATCGGCATGCCACGTTAGTCAAATGTGTGGGTCCTACAGGGACCAAATTAGGGGTCTCTTATTTTCTAAAATTGGTCCTCTTTAGTGGAAATGGTTGAGCATAATTGTTTGGGGGTCAAAACAACTAGATAAGAGGGAGACAGAAATGTGCAGGTGTAGAAGCTGCTAGTGACCCTTAGATCATCGGGGAAAAGAATTTGGCCTTTGATAAATGTAGATACCTGTTTAGAATCAATAAGTCTTCAATGCAAGTTGAAAACTTGATGATGGGCCACTGAAATCTATAACTTACATCTGAAGATTACTTTTATATAAAGGTCATGGTGAAAGATTGAAAGATTACCCTAATACAAAGGATGTGGTAAAGATTCTAAAACATCATACAATTCCTTAAACTTAGAGCACAGCATTTGGTTGATATTTGTCAGCTTGATTTTGAGAATATAAAATTTGCATCTGGGAAAATGAATATCATGCAGGAGAGACTTGATACATCATTTGTGTCTTAGCAGCTTCTACAGGAATTTTCAGAGGCCCTGTAAATCCCTTGTGTGCTCCAAATCGAGTTATCCTGGGTCAATGTATCAGCTTCAAATGTCCGTAGTCCGGTTCAGTTGAGTCTTGGTGCTTAATTTCTTTGTGTCTACAGCTTTTGTTCACTATAGACTTACCCTATTATGTTAAAAAAAGTAGTTTGTTTCTTTAAAGTGAACATGAGCATTTTGCATTTAAACACAAAATTATGCAAATGCAAAATTACGATGCATTTCATAGTCACACTGATTTTTTATATTTCTCATAACATATGTTAAAATATCCCGCTTAACAGACATTATTATTATACAACATTTCTTGAATTACAACAGTGTACTCAGTGTAACTAATGACTAGAAATTATATCTATGATTGAGTGTAAGGGGAATGGATCAATATTCTCTGATCATCTTTACATTTGCTTTTCCTGATTTGGGGGGATAAAGTTAAATTAATATACTTAATGTTATTTAGATATAGTTCTTTCTGACATTTAAAAAATTTGAATCAATGATCTTTATTTTTCTTCATTAACGGCTGTGACATCTTGGTAAAAATATTTTTAAGGATTAATAAATGCAGTCAAATGCCATAACAGTTGGCATAAGCATTAAATAATTTCAATGAAGAACAACAGACATTTGACTCTTGAAAAGATGAGATTCTTACATACTTTAAGGATTCTAAGGAGAAGGAGATTTCATTGATTTCTTGCCCATCACAGTCCAGTGTGACTCCTCCATTAGGCAGTGTGGCCATCCCTTTGGTCCTGGCTTGCCTGCTGGGTTATAGCAGGTCACTCCCTCAATGTTTGAAGTAGTTGAACACAGACAAGCTGGTGGAAATATGTCAGTCTTATAGTCTGAAGGTTGGAAAAAGCTCCAGGGGCTTCAGCAGGTATTTCTTCCACTAAAGGAACAGGGATTTGAAAGTAAATTATTCTTACCTAGAAATTTCTGCCTTGGGTTATTATTTCTTTTTCTATAAGAGCATTTTCTTGTCATTGATCCTTAGTGGCTGATATCACCCAACTAGTATCATGATCATTCATCCCTATTGCCTTTGAACCCTTAGTAGGCTATACTCAGATTAAGGCTGACCAAAAGTCCTAAAGCATCTTTAATTTTGTAAGTCATTTCTAGCTCTCTCTGAGATTTTGGCACTAGAAGCAGCAGAACATCGAAAATGAAATGTTTAATGATCACTTGAGCAAATTTGCCATCCCAACTTGCAGCAACAGGGATAGAATTGGCTTGTGATTTCACCAGATGACCTTGATGGACCCTAACAATTTTGCTTTTTTTACCTTCCCTATGAAGAGAAGATGGTTGAGGATTAGAGGGTTTCTAAGGATTTTATAGCTCTAACATTGTGTGATTCACTAATCATTTGACCCCCAAATAAATGTTTCACTGAAATAATTTGACCTAGGTCTTGAGTAAAAGCGAGGTGAATTTACCTTGAAGCTAATGAAGCTAAATCTTCAAGGTTCTTCCTTTGGGGGGGGGGTCCCAACCCAAAGACCTGGCCTAATTTTGTCTCAATAATTTGTCATTTTTAATTTTTATTTTTTTCCTGCAGTACTAGAGGATGAAACCCAGAGCCTCACCCATGCTAGGAAAATGCTCTACCACTGAGCTACATCTCTAGCCCTTGTTATTTTTTATTTTGAGACAGTGTCTTGCTAAGTTGCTCAGACTGGCCTTGAACTTTGAATCCTCCTGCCTCAGTCTTTAGAGTGGCTGGGACTGCTGGCTCATGCCACTGTTTGCAGCTGACATTCTTCATCTTTTTTTAATTTTTTTTTTTAGTTGTTGATAGACCTTTATTTTATTTATTTATACATAGTGCTGAGAATCGAACCTAGTGCCTCACACATGCCAGGCAAATGCTCCACCGCTGATCCATAGTCCCAGCCTCGATATTCTTTATCTTAAAGAGCTTCTTCCAAATCAAATAAGCTGTAGGTCTCCCAGAGCCTGGCTCCATCTCTGGGTTATAAGAACATAAGATAAACTTTGAGGTAATTGAAGACTTTTCTCAGAAGTGCTTCCAACTGAGAAGGTGAATAGAAAATCACTATGAAGGAACATTAAGACTCCTTTTTATACCTCATCTTTCTGTAGTTTATTGGAATACAATCAATCATGGATAGGCATTCAGTCTTATGTATTTTTGCAAGTCATTTGGGAACAGAGAAGCCAGAACATTTGAAAGACAGGCAATGTCTCAGGATCTAATAAAGTACCAGTTACAGAAGACATTTGGGGATGCTTTGTATAAAAATGTATACTTTACATTTATTCAACAAATATTTTTAAATACCTGAACCATGCAAGAGGTTGGGATGTTGCAAAACCAGAGACATCCAACTCGTCATTCAGGAAGAAGTTCACAGCTTTGTGAATGTATGTGTGTTACCCAGAAAAAATATGGTTTAAAGTTGGGTCTTGAGCCACGGTTTCCAAAAATTAATGTATGTGGTGTTACAAAAGTCAGGGGTGATGGAGTGGATCAGTTCTCAGCTTTTATACACTAGATGGCACTGTGGGTGCAGAGGAAAACTCTAAATTGGTTCTTTTGTTAACTTAAATCTGTTGCCAAAACTATGTAGTTGAGAAAACAACAGTGTGTTATAAAACCTAGGGTAGGGGGAAGGTAGCTGTAGAATACATTCTTAATTACTTTGTGATTAAGTGTGTGTCTTCCTGTTTAGACCGCTTAGGTTAGTATGTAAAGTTGTATGTATATGTCCCCTGTTGTATAAAACCGCTTATGTCCCAATTTTCTAATAATCACATAGAGCTCTTTGTTATCTCTATGGTGCTTGCCTTGAAATGAAGATATCAGATGGTGGTGTGTTTGATGAAATGGTGAGCAATGGTAGAGTCTACTATAGTTCTAATTCTGAGACTTGAACTTTCCTTTTTATTACCAAGACTTTGCTTTAGTCATCACAGAAATAACAACAGGAGAGTTTCCCCCATATTGGCCGACTGGCTGCACCTTTTCTCTTTGTCAACATATCTGCTGTGAACAGTTTCTATTAGGGTGGAATGGTATTCTTTTGGGGGGATTGTGCTTGGGGAAATTTCACACAAAGACTACTAGCAAGTCTAAGGAAAAGAGAAAGCTGAAAATGTTTTCATATCAGAGTTAGGAATGGCTTAAGATCCTTAGTGTTTTGATAATTCAGTAAAACAAAAGCAAAAACACCTCAAATTTTAGAGTTAGGTTGTCTTGGATAGTAAATTGAAGCACATTTTCTCTTATGGTGATGTGCATTAAAAATGTAATTTTCCTTCTATTAGAACAATAGAAGAAAATCTTTGCTTATCATACACAACCAAAATACCTATAGCATACTCAAGTTTGGGAAAGAATGGAAAGTAGGTTCTGTGGTTTGGTTTTTAGGAAAGATCCTGGTATCTTCTTTGCCATTAGTGATGGGGCAAACACAGTGACTTGGGGATATCTGGTCAGTATGTTATTTTTCTGGAAAGCACAGTTGCTTCTTGGAGATTGCACAACAGTGTAAATGAGTACCTAAGAGCTTCTAGGCTTTTACAGATATGTCCCCAGGTTTCTCTCTACATCTCTTTCCTCATATGATAAGTGAAGAAAACCAGCAGTATTTACCACTCAGCACTCCCTTTGAGAGAGTAGGCAGTTGGGCATTAAAAAGTTTTTGTTGTTTTATTTTGTTGCTTCTTTACACTTTATTCACCATTTGAATAAAATTATAGTCTTTCCTTGGGCAGGAACAAGAGTAACTTGGAGCACTGGTGGTTGAGAAGAAAGAGGTTTTATTTTGTGTTTATTTTTGAATTAGATAGTGAAGTGTCATGTCCTAGAGTTTGTTGGAGGCAAAGGAAGGGGCTGGAAAAGTGGGTCTAGGAGGAAGAACTGGCGGGTGGGAAAGGGGAAAGGTAAAATAGTCAAGAGTCAGACCTATTTGGAAAAGAATTTTATTAGTGAGTGTTGTTTGAAGATAGGAGAGGGATAAATTACAGGTTAAAATATGGAATGGGGCATAAAGTTTCAAGTTTGAATTTTCATATCATTGGAAAAATCAGGGGAAGAACAAAAATATTCACAAATTGGGATGTGATGACAAAAGATAAATGTTTACTTATTTGACACAGATTCTTATTTTTTCTTTTGAACCAATGGCAATTATTAAGTGACTTCTGTGGTTTTTGTAAACATGATTGGAACCTACTCTCACAGGATTTTGCCATGTTTTGTTTGAAAGAGTTTAAAATAGTCTACAAAGATCTCCATGTTCATCTTGAAATCATAACAAACCTTTCAAAACAGCCATAATCAGGGCAAAAGAAAATATTTGATGTTTTGTTTTCCTTTGTTTTGTTATAGAGAACTTTACCTCCATTTCGTGCAAGGCTCCTCCTCTTCCAAAAATAGAAAGGAAATTTCCACCTTACACGGGCTTTGGGTCTGAAGAGGATTCTCTCCGTTCCTGCATAGGCCTTGTGCCCACACCTCACCAGAGGAACTTCAAGAAATTCATGGAAGAAGACAGGTGCTTGAGGGAACCATGATTTGAGTCCTATCTTTTCCAAATCTGTTTGGGGTTTATGACAGTCCTCATGATAAAAAGAGGTGACACAAAGCTCATCTAAGTGCTGGGGTTGTAGCTTAGTGGTAAAGCACATGACTCGCATGCATGAGGCACTGGGTTTAATCCTCAGCACCACATAAAAATAAATAAATAAAAGTATTGTGTCTATCTACAACTAAAAAATTTTTAAAAAAGGAAAAAAAAAAGCTCATCTAATTTCAAGTTCAAGGACATGTTGTTGTAGTCTTTTAGTGAAATTGATTAACTTATAGGTATTGCCAGGTTCGTACATGAATGTTTATTTTACAGTATCATCTGGGGAATCCTAAAGTCATATCATCCCCAATCTGTGGTGCTTTTTATTATCTATCTGCCTGTCTGTCTCTCTCCTGAAGATAATCCCTAGGAAAGGATGTAGAGGAAGGGGTCAGCAAACTTAAAAAGAGTCAGTGTAAATATTTTGGGCTTTGTAGGCCATATGGCCTGTCACAACCATCCAGATGTGCCATGAAAGCAGCCATAGACAGAATGTAAACACATGTGTGACTGTGCTCCAATAAAACTGTTTTTATGAACATTGACATTTGAATTTCATGTAATTTTTAGATATCACAAAATATCCTTCTTTTTATTTTTTCAACCATTTAAAAATGTAAAAACCACTCTTAGCTCAAAGACCATGTCAACACAGGTGGCTAGCTGGATCTGGCCCATGGACTGTGGTTTGCCAGCCCTTGTTATAGAGATTTCAATGATATATAAGTGTTTTTCAAAATGTTATTTTGAAAAATAAGTAATGTTGTTGTTTTGATTTGAGAGTTTTGGGTAAGTTCAGTAACAATAGATCGCTCACATGGCTGCATATAATTTCAAAAGATGGATGTTCAAAGTATCCCTAATATTCTATGAGGTAAAATCTGCTCCTGAGTCATGCATGTAGAATCTAGGCACTGCCTAGGGTAACTTTTTTTCTTCTGCAGGGAGAGCAGACTGTGGAGAAGAAATCCAGGGGAAAAGTGGTAGGGAAATACTGCAGCTGCTTCAATAGGATGCCCGCTAAAAGCTGGAGTCCTGCATGAGGAAAATAATGAGTCAGGAGATCCTGGGGAGAACAATGATAAAGGGAATGTGCAGTAAAACTAGGAGAAGGAAATAAGACAGCACCCTGAATTTGGTCAAATTGAATGAGGTCAGATGCTGTTGTTGAACATTTGAAGGAGAGAGAACAATAATTGTGCTATATCTGTAAAAATGGTTGAAATCTTTTTGAGACTTATACAGAATGATGGAAAGTATGCCCTTGCCATGATGTGATGTTTTGTCTTTCAAGAAATAATCTTTTATTTTTAAGGAGTTAGGGTTTTATCTATCTATTTATTTATTTTTTTAAATTTATTTATTTTAGTTGTAGGTAGACACAATACCTTTATTTTATTTGTATATGGTGTTGAGGATCGAACCCAGTGCCTCACAAGTGCCAGACGAGGGCTGTACCACTGAGCCACAGCCCCAACCCAGGTTTTTATTATCTAAACTCAGTGCTACTCAAAGTGTGGTCCCCATACTTGTTAGAGATGCTAATTCTGTGCCTCTCCCTCCAGACCAGTTGAGATGGAAAACTCTGGAGGTGGGGCCCAGCACTCTGTTTTCATAAGCCTTCCAGGGGATTCTGAGGCACATCAGTGTTTGAGAACCACTGATCATCATGTAAGAGAGACACTAACTTATTCTCCTTCCTCTCTTATTGATAACAGTGTTTACAATGAGGTTCCAGGGTAGGACTATTTGATGGACATTTCCCGCTAACTGATGTTTTTAAGGGTTGCCACCCAAAGGAGGTGCGCAGGAAAAATGTCCTTATTGTAAAAAGAGAAAGAAGTTTTATTATAAGTAAACATGATGAAATATTATCTAGGGTGTTGCTTCTGGAACCCAGGGGTAAAGCAGTTCTTTGTGGGTAGTTGACTTAGTCTCTCTTTCTGTCTGCACTGGATAAAGTTGCCTACAGAACCCTGACTGCAGACAGCATTCTGTTTGTGTCATTTTATTGTAGCTAGAGAATTGTGGTATAGGCACAAATGTCTTTAATTTTATTTCTTTCTGTCCACTGCTTGTTCTGTGCTAGGAATACACTTCTATCAGACTCCTCCCACACAGTGACCTTGTTTCCATAGTAACTGGCACATTCGGCTGGAGACTTATGCATGAGTTTGAATGACCCAAGGTTTCAAAACTGTGAGAACCTAAGGAAGATGATCTCACAAACCATATAAAGATAGTTTCTTAATGCAAATAAAGAAAATGTGAATTTGAACATGAAATTATTCATGACATATATTGATTTTATATATTGCTATCGAATAAATTTACTGGGTGCTATTGTTATGAGGTTAATGCTGTCTACTATGAGTCATTGGAGGATATCATTTCAAATTAAAGCCTATGAGGTTTTTGATAGACATGGAGATCATCTTTATTGTCCAGATAAACATCACTGCGATGATCTGCTGGGCACATTGTCTAGTCTGACTTGGGAGAACCAGAAAAATTTCTTTGTCACTGTACCAGACTGATTTAGTAACTTTGTTCTCTGTGTGCCCACAGTATTCTGCTGATTATTTCTCTAATAATATTACTACTATTCTGTTATACCATTAAGCAATTAGTGGTTACTATCTACTAAATACTTTATAATACTTAGTATCATTTTATCCTCAAAACAGCCTTGGAAAGTAGATAATTACTGCACTTATTCTTCACTTGAGGGAACTGAGGCTCAGAGAGGCTCTGTAACTTGCCCAAACTCAAACAGCTGATTTTTAGTTGAGCTTGGATTTGAATCTCTTTTCTGGAGTATGCCTTTCTTATTGCAAAAGTTGTACTTATTGCAGGTGTGAAGACTACTCATTTATGCAATTTATGGGCTCTCCCTAAGAGTTAGAACAATGCTGACTGCATACTTAGGGGAAGCTCAATATTTTATTCAATATGAAGAGTAATGGAGCCAGGTGTGGTGGCACATGCCTGGAATCCCAGTGGCTTAGGAGGTGGAGGCAGGAGGATCCTAAGTTTGAGGTCAGCCTCAGAAACTTAGAGAAGCTCTAAGTAACTTAGTGAGACCCTGACTCAAAATTAAAAAATAAAAAGGACTTGGCGTATAACTCAGTGGTAGAATGCCTCTGGGTTCAATACCCAGTTACCCCCTCACCACAAAAAGAGGAGAGGATGAATAAGTGGACAGAGTAAGAGAGTAAATATCCATTAATCCATTTCTTAAAGATGGAAGGAAGGGACAGATGGCTTCCTACCAGGAAGGTTAATATCCCATACTTATGCTATTCATGACTATATAGCATCCAGAATTCATGATTTAATCTTTTAAAAAATATTTTAAGGTATAGATGGACAAAATACCTTAATTTTATTTATTTATTTTTATATGGTACTGAGGATCAATCCCAGTGCCTCATTCGTGTGAGGCAAGCATACCACCACTGACCTACAACCCCAACCCTCATGATTTAATATTAGTTTCTCATTTGTTCCAGATATTGTCCATCTGCTATCCCCATCAGCCATATTCCCCATCTTTAAATTTTTTCCCCATCAATAAAAATAAGCCTTTATGTGTTTCCCAACCACAAGACTCTATAGCTCTAGCTACTTTTGAGGCTTTTAGTAGATGTGTAGCTCGGGATGATCCATTCATTTTCTTTTTTTATTATTAGTTGTTCAAAACATTACAAAGCTCTTGACATATCATATTTCATACATTTGATTCAAGCAGATTATGAACATTCATTTTCTTGGTCAACAAATGTTTCCTGTCACCTGCTGCATGCCAAAGACCAACCTAGGTATTTGCCATAGTTGTGATACTTCTATGAACAAAACAGACACAAAGGTCTAGGGTTATGGCTCAGCAGTAGAGCACTGCCTACTAACATGAGTGAGGTGCTGGGTTTGATCCTCAGCACCACATAAAAATAAATAAGATAAAGGTATAAAAAATTCAATAACATAAAAATTATTTTTAAAAAGACAACAAAAACAGACACAAAGCCCTGTCTGCCTAGAACTTTCATTCTAGCTGCAAGAGGTATGTAAAAGATAAAGATAATAAATAATACAAAAAGACATTATTTAGTATATATAATGTGTTCAATACCATGGAAAAGTAAAGAAAGTATTTAGTTGCTGTGAAGAAAATAAAGAGAATTTGGGAGTTTGGGGTTGATGAACATCCCTTGTTGTAGTTTTAAATAGTGTGTTCTGATGCACCCGAGGGAAGAAAATGTGTTCCAGGAAGAAGGAACAGTCAGTGTAAAGGTCCTGAGCAAAAAGCATGCTTGGGATGTGCAAGAACCATCCAGAAGGTCAACTGGATAGAGTAGATGAGTAAAAGGCAGAATACACCGAAATAAGGTAAGAGAAGTAATGGGATGGGATCACAGAGGGCCTTATAAGGAATCTTTTGACTTTGAATGAGAAGGAGGGAATCCCTGGGACATTTAAGCAGAGAAGTGACTTGTTCTGACATGCATATTGAAAGAATCCCTCCAACACAGTGTTGAGAGTAGACTGTAGAAGACAATAGTAGAATTGAGACCAGTTATGAGGCTACTGCTGTAGTCTAAGAGGAAAGTTATGGTGGCTCAGATCTGGGTGAATGCAGTGGAAGTGATGAAATTAAATAGTGGATTCTGGAAATATTTTGAGGGTAGAGCCAGTAGGATTTCCTGACAGATGAGATATGTGTTACAACAGGAGTGAGGAGCTAATGTTGTCTCTCAGGGTTTGGTCCTGAGCAACTGGAAGGGTGGAGTTGCCAGCCACTGAGATAGGAAAGACTGTAGATGAGTAAGTTTGAGGGCAAGAGCAGAAGTTCAGTTTTAGAACAAGTTTGAGATGTTTGTTAGCTATCAAGTGGAAATATTGAAAGGCAGTTGGATGTATGAGGATGGGGTACAAGAAAGCGGTCTGAGTTAGATAGAAATTTGGAAGGCATCCGTATGTACATAGTATTTTAAGTCATGATGCCAAGTTGTACTAGAGTCTTCAGACTGGATGAGATCATCAAGGGAGGAAATAGATACATAGAGACAAGTGCATGAATAAAACTTGGGATACCCCAAATTAAGTAATTGGGAAAAAGAAGAATAACCAGCACACACACACAGAAAAGGAAAAAAAGTAGGAGAGATCAAACCCAAGAGAATGCAGAATTCCAGAAGTCAAGTGAAGCAAGAGTATCATGGAAGAAGGAGTGGTCATTTTTGCCAATTGCTGCTGATTGGTCAATTTTGATGTGGACAAAGGAAAAATTAAGCATTGGAATTGGCATTATGGAGGTCATCATTAGCTTCTATAAGAACAGTTTAGGTAGAGCAGCCCTAATGGAAGTGTATTTAAAAGAAAATGGGAGACAAATTCAAGGTGGTGATTATAGAAAATTGTGTTATATAGTAAAAGTTAAGACATGACTCTTGGATCTAGGAATTTATATATTTGGAACAATGGGAATAAACACAATTTGAAAACAACCAACTAAAAGTACAAGTTTATATAACACAAAATTGGGTCTGAATAGAAGATAAGCTGGAAGGGCAGAATATTGTGATAAAGAATGTTCAGAGAAGTTTGATAATTAGCTTCTTTGTCAAGGAAGTATATGAAGACTCTTGCAGTGGTTCTTACAGTGTGCTCTGGGGACCACCTCATCAGAATCTCCTGGGGTGCTTACTAATAATTCAGGTTTCCAGAGTCAGCTGGATACTGAGTCCATATCTCTAGGGATGGGACTCTGGATTCTACATACTTAACAAGCTTCCCAGGTGACTTTTATACACAATAAACTTTGTCTTAAGATTTTACTGAGATTGTATTCTTGATTGATGAGGTCCCCAGAACACTAGATTTAAGTGAAAATTTGGCATGTTGAAAAGTTCACACTTAATTTATACACTTGTAAATTTATGTAAGTTCTATGAAGTTACATTAACAGTAATATTCATTTTTCCCAGTGACTAGACCTCATTTGAATATTTCAGGTATCTGAAAAGTTATGGGTTTTTCATGAGAGTGGGCTGGTAAATCTATTTGTTACTTATAAGTTCAGTTATATGCCAGAGAAGATAGTTGACAAAGCATAACTGGCCCTAACACTATGTGAGGTCCTCCTGAGGCCTGAGAACTAGGCACTAAGAAAACATCAATGGCCTCTGGGATGTTTTGCCCAGGCTGCCTTGGAACTAGCTTTACAAATGGCTGCACTCTGTCTCACTTGAGGCCTCAAGCTGAGAATCTTGGCTCCATGCTTTCTCAGCCCAGGTTCTTGGATAATTTGAGAAAGGCATAGAGAAAAGCACTTTCTGCCTCTATGAACCAATATTACTATGCTTTTTATCACTGTGATTACAAAGAGTGTATTTTGGCATAGGAGACTCTTCAAGTAAGGACCTCTCTGATTAGAGTCATGACAGGGAAACGACAAAGGCCTGATTTGACTTTGTGCTTCTTCAGGCAGTGATTTTGATTTTCAAAGACCTCCCCAAGGCTTACTGTTTGTTACAAGGTCCACCTTTCACTAGCAAAGGTGCACAGACATGCTTCTGCTTAGAAACCATAAATTAACTTCTTCAGTGACCAACAAATCACCTCTGGGAACTTTTAATTCTACAGTTTGATCCCATGTTCAGCCTACTATTTTATTCATGCACAGAGTTTTAAGTTCAACCCCTAGTCTGTATGGGTATAGCTTTCTTTAACCATTTATTGAGTATAGTACTTATAATGTTAAAAAGTGCTATATTAGGTAGTCATTAATAAGACACATTGCTTCCCCTTGGAAAATAGACCTGCAATGGTTACTTGCAATACAGGTAATAAGTGCTATTAAAAAGAAGAGGCTGTGCTGGGGTTGTGGCTCTGTGGTAGAATGCTTGCCTTGCATGAATTAGGCCCTGGGTTCGATCCTTAGCACCACATAAAAATAAATAAATAAAATGAAGGTGTTGTGTCCATCTATAACTAAAAAAATATATTTTTTAAAATGAAGAGGCATGGCTGCTATTTGCTATAGCATTTGAAAGGGAAAAGTTAACTTTTCTCCCAATGGAATCAGGAGTGATGCTGTGGAGATAGGGGAGAAGTCAGGGAGGGGTGGGATATGGAGTACAAGGCAGAAGGGCCATGGGTGCCAGATAGTGGGTAGTAAAAAAACTGAGGTTGTCCCAGGCATGGGCAGAGCACACCTTCTGGACTAGCTCAGGCAATGGTGCCAGGTGCTTGCCCTTATATTTGACATGATTACTGTGATTGGTGCCAGGTTTGTCATTACAGAACAACTGATGAATGTGATTGGTTTGAGCAGCATGTTTATGACATGTGTGTTGGATCCATTTACCCAGGACATGTAATGAATAAGATGTGTTTTAATATACTGAGGCAATTCCTCTGTATTTAGATTGAGAACCTTAATAAGAAGATGGTTGGACTCTCTGTTTGCAGAATTCAACCTCCTATTTTTAAAACCATAGCATGCCTCTTGCTGCCCACCCCCCAACCAACATGATATGTCGATTACTTGTATAATGCTTTCTTATTTCTCTTCTGTTTAGCTATGGCAATGTAAGCAATATACTCCGGTTTTTTGCAAAACTAATCACAGACAAATGTGCTGATGTGGACAGGATGTTTGTTATTTCATATTTTCTCAGCGATGATACACTTTCAGTGTTTGAACCTATAGAGAGGAATTCAGGTAAGAGACACACTCTCAGAGTATTTTCCTGAGAACATTTAATTGCCTCTTCATTTTGAAGATTAGGGAATATGATCCGAGTCTGTAGCCTATATGATCCCTGGTAGTGGGTTTTAAAAAAAATTAATAGGTTTCTTTTGGCAAAAATGTTTTAAATGGGAGCTGAAATATACAAAATGATAAACAAGGAACAGTTATGGTTGTCTCAGAGATGGGGGCCTGGGATAAATCCCTTTTGCTTCTATTCCCTCTTTTTCATGAGGTAGTTCTATGGAACCCAAGTATTTCAAAATCAAGGTCTGGCTGCCACCAGTGCCACTCTCAGCCAGCAAGCCAAGAGAAAGTATATACTCTTGATAGTTCTGCCTAACAGATTTTTGTTGATGCTCTGACAAGAATTCCAGATATATAAATTTAATCTTCAGTATCCATCTTTCTCTGGCCCTTCTGTCTGTTAATGCTATTTGCACTTGGGCCTAATGGAATGTTCTCCACACTGTGCTGATTATATGGCCATTGCTGAGGAGAGCTGTTGATTTATCAAACTATGGAACTGTAAGTCAGTCTCTCTCTCTCTCTCTCTCTCTCTCTCTCTGTATATATATACATACACATATATTATTTATATGGTGCTGAGGATTGAACCCAGTGCCTCACATATGTGAAGCAAACACTCTGCCACTGAGCCCCAGCCCAGGACTCTGTTTTTTGTCTCAACATATTTATATCATTTATCTGTGCTGAAAACACACATTTGGGAAGAATAATCAGTGATGTGCTGGTTAACTGGCTCTTTGAAAAAAAAAATGGAAAGTCCTGATTTGTACTGTTTGTCACTTTCCTTGATGTGAATACCCCAATCACAGCCAGTTTTTAGAAGCCAACAGTTTAAAAAAACTGGCTTGCAAAACCTTTGAAAATTCAACAATTGGCTCTTGTGAGCTGGTATGAGCCCTTATCGCACCAATGAGTAATGAATAATTTGAATAACCAAATCAAGACTCCACAGTGATTTGAATAGTAGAAAATCTTACGATATGAAATTGAATAGGGATGAATATAAGTCATACTCTAAATAGTCAAAAAATCAAGTGTATGCATCAGAGTGGGGAAGATGTGGCCAAGTAAATTGCAGCATGTGTAAAACAGAAAGGGTGATAGTAGTCAATGAAAAGCTTATAATAGTAGTGGCCATTACTCAGTACCTGCTATTGTCCTTATAAGAACTCTTAAGAGGTTAAGTTTAGTAGTAGTTCTCCAAGAAACAAATATGAGACAGGATTATCTCCAAGATATTCATTTAGGGGAAATGCTGGTGAGGAAAAATGTGGAGAGAGCCAGAGGAGACTGGGAGAGCCATCATACTGCAGTATAGTTCTGACTCTGGTAAAGGACAGAGGGAAAGAAGAAGGGAGGTCTTAGACTGCAGTGGAATTCTAAGAAGATTTCTGCAAGGCTGAGCCAAAGCTGCTAGTTGGAAGAGTCCTTGTCTTTATAGGAATGGGCCAATCTTAGCATCTCTGCCTTGTGTAGTCATTTGTTGGCAGAAGCCTGTGGGAAGTATGACCTCGGCATATACTCGAGGATGGATTTCAGAACATGACAGCTGGGGTCCTCTACCAGTCATGTTCCCTACAATAGGTAATTTGAGAGGTACATTTTCCTGGGCCCCCACAAATTTTGTTTCCATTTTACCAATGAGAATGTACAGAAGTTAAGAGAGGTTAAATAACTCTTAAAGATCATCCAGCAGGCAAGTGACAGAACCAGGATGTGATGTTGCTTTACTTGGCTTCAAGGCCTGTGTCTTTCCACCACTTGTGTTATCAGAATGTGGTAGGAGGATCTGATAGTGATGTAGTAGTGACCACAAAATCTCATCTGGTCTCAGACTGTATTCACAGATCTGTAGATTTCAGTTCTGATTCAGAGTTTCCTGTGCAACTCCGCTTGCTACTTTCCAAGAGGACAAAAACCAATGCCTGGAAGAGAACAGATGAGTTGTTGAGAATTCTGGGAAGTAAAATACATGATAAAAAACTCAAAGAAGCAAAGATACTTTACCTGTTTAAAAAAAAAGTTAGGGGGTTAGGGATATTGTGGTAGAGTGTTTGCCCAGCACACTTGAGGCCCTAGATTCCATCCCTAGCACTTCAAAATAAATTAAATTTTAAAAAAATATGTAAAGAAAAGTTAAAGGGACCCCCACAGTTGTCTTCAAATACTTAAGAAATCTCCTTCACAGAGGTGGGACAATTTACCCTTAATCTGCACGTCAGAAAAAGTGCAAGACAAATAAGTAGAAATAAGCACAAGTGAGACATTTTCTAAATGGTTCTATTCAAATGTGCTCCAAAGATGAGTAACCTCCTGATGTTACACACTCCCAGTATGCTGCAGGACTATTTATGTGGCAGGTCTTTGCTATGTGTTTATTTGATTAGGAAGGGAGAAAGAAGAAAAAGGCTAGAATACTATACCATGTTTTTCTTTAATACATTCACCTAGGAAGTCTTATTTCTTTGTCCACTGCCTCATTCCGCCCTTTAGTCTGAGAATAATAGACAATATGAGTTCACAGGTAAGTTGTATAGTCCGTGTTTGAGGATGAAGCAACTCTAAAGGCAAGCCACATGGTTCTTTTAAGAATAAAGACTACCCATGAACTTTTCTCTCTTTCTCTAGGGCTCACTGGTGGAATGTTTTTGAAAAGAATTCGTGTTAAGAGGCCTGGACAAGAAATCTTTAAAAGTGAACTATCAGAATATATCAAGTCTGAGGAGCTGTATGTTGGAGCCAAACTGAACGTGAATGGCTACCTATTTCTTTTGCTCAACGCTGATGAGTACACCTTAAACTACATGGAGAATAATACAAACAGGGTGAATTTACTTTGTATAATTCTTTACTTGCCTCTCAGCCCTCTGCAATGTGTGTTTTTCTTTCTCTAGGGGCTTTTCTTCTTCATCTTGCCACTGTTTTACATTGTGCATTCACACATGTGGGCATGAATAATGGATCCGTGCAACTTGGCCACAGGTCCCATCTCAGAGGCCAGGTCCTTGTCTCCTCTGTTTACACGCTTGGCTCTCCACTGCCCAGCATCACGGATTCCAGGAAGAGGCAGGAGGCTGGCCCAGGGTTGAATCAAGTTTCCTGCATTTTCTGCTGACACTAACAATGTTTTCAGAAAGAAATTCAGCAAGTATAGGAAAGGAAGACAATCCGGTGCCACACACTGTGCCATCCCAGTTAATTGGCACAGGGCAACAGAGAAGGCCAAGACCGGAACAAACAGAAACCCCAAGGGAACTCAATAGCTTCTGGGGTTGCAACTTCCTATAACTGTGGCCACCTGAGGCCTAAAAAAGAATTTAAGGAGGAATTGGCCCTAGTGAGCTGAAAAAAAAAATTTTTTTTTTAATTTGAATTAAGGTGGCAGATGGTTACTGTTCTTAAAAGTGCTATTATGGCAGTTCTGTTCAGTAAAAATAACATTTGGGAAAAATCTTAATTTTGAATGTGGACTCATTCAGTGTGCAAACGTGTATTTGGGAATCATTGCCTAATATTGAAAAAAATCTGTCTGGAAATTTTTTATTTTAAAAGTTCACCTGTTACATAACAATATTTGTGTGCCATTTATATACTACAGTACCAGTTTTGTCTTATTTACATATAAAATGCTCAAGGTTAAGTTGTTAGCATCAGTCTCTCCATATAATACACGTGTATCCCATCTTCCATATCGATTTGGGACTTCTGAGAAGCAGAAGACAGAGTTATAAATGCAAGAGGTGTATTTGGGGAAAGACCTCTAAAGGACAAAGTGAGGGAGCAGAAGGAGACAGTGGGTGGATGGAGTCTTCAGACCAGAATTCAGGTCTAATTCCTGTTGGGGCTAGGAAGGAAGGGTGGATGGGAAGAACCTCATCTGGGCCATGCAGCTTTGAAAAAGTCTCAGCCAGGCAGAGGGAGAGCCCAGAGCAAAGACTGCCCAATTGAGACACTCAGAGTCAGGCAGGAGTGCCCAGCTCTGCTCCCCCTGCTGTGTTCCATTACTGAGTGAGACAGCCAAGGGAGACTGTGGCATCATTAGGGATACTGCATTTGGACCGTGTGTAGATCTAGAAGTTGTGGCAGCTGGAGGCTGTTGGCTTGTGATGCTCTTCTCCACAGGGTCTCTCTTGATAGGAGGCCTGAGCAGCCTGGCTGCCACATCGTCTCTCCATTTGTGATATTAGAGATTTGGGTTATCATAAAAGCATGAACCATTAGCTGTATAAAATACTGAACTCAGGTAAGAAACTCTATAATTGGGGAGTTAAATTTCTGGAGACCAGCAGGCCTGAATTGGAAATCAGACCCCATAGCTGAGAGACTTAAGCCATGTGTCTTACCTGACCTTCATTTTCCTCATCTTTGAAATAAGAGTAACAAGAATGCCTGTTTCATAAATTTGCTAGAAAGATTAAATGTGATGATAATGTGTGACGTGCTTAACTTTATGTGGCCTATAGAAAGTTCAGTTGTTGTAACTATTATAAATTAGCATTCTATTTCAAAATAGAGGGTGAACCTATGCCTTAATATAAAATATACAGACAGTTCCCAATTTATGATTGGTCAATTTAGGGTTTTTTGACTTTATCATGGCATAAAAGCAATATACATTTAGTAGAGACTGTACTTCAAATTTTGAGTTTTTCTCTTTCCCTGAGCTAATACTGTGCAGTCCTATCCTCTCTTGGCAATGCTGGGCAGTAGCCATAAGCCACAGTTCCCAGTCAACTCTGATCAGTAGGGGAAACAACCCATACTCTACAGTGTGCTGTGTTACTAGGCCAGGATATTTGCTGGGCTAGGTATATTCAGTGCACATTTTTATTTTAGGGTACCAGGAATTGAACTCAGGGGCACTCAAGCACTGAGCCACATCCCCAGCCCTATTTTGTATCTTATTTAGAGTTAGAGTTTCACTAAATTGCTTAGCGCCTTGCCATTGCTGAGGCTGGCTTTGAACTTGCAATCCTCCTGCCTCAGCCTCCTGAGCCACTGGGATTACAGGTGTGTGCCTGGCTTATTCATTGTATTTTTGACTTATGATGTTTCCAAATTACATTGGATTTATTGGAGCATAACCCCATTGAAAGTCAAGGATTACCTGTATGTAAAAAGGTAGGTATAGTTTTTTTTCCCCTCTTTTTTCTTTTTTCCTCATGCTAGAGATTGAACCTGAGGTTTCAGGCATGCTAGGCAACTGTTCTACCACTGAGTTGCACTCTCAGTCAAAACATATATAGTTTTAAGGAATAAAGAGCATTTCTTCTTTCAGAATGATAAAAGCATGATAGGACATTATCTAGTATCAGCATCTTAAGTGAAAATTACATTATTTTAAAACTACTCTTAACAAGGGCATAGTAGGCAGAGGAAGATTAATATACTCTTTAATACCAGTCCGAGGAGTCTTTTCAAAAGAGCTAATAGATCATATCATGGAAATAGATGAAAGGAAATGCAAAAAAGGAGATGGAGTGGGGGTCTGCAATAGGTGCCAAACCACCTGGATCATTTTGTGGTGGAAGAGAGGGAGCTTTATTCTAAATTACCACCAATGTTTTTATTCTAAAATTTCATCTTCTCATTTTTGATCTTTTAGCTGTAATTATTTATAACCTTGTGCTTTACTGAATTGAATAACAAATATTCTTCCTAAGTCAAAAGGCTAATCACAGGGTAGGAGACAGGAACAGTAGGCTTTCTGCATGAGTATTACACTGCCTGTATGGATCTTTGACAACTAGCTGTGCCTGATCAGTGCATTGCCTGGGTAGCCAAAAGTTTCTGGGGTTGTAGGGGGCATTCTAATATTTGGAGAAAATGAGGGTCTACTTATCCAATTTTGAATCCCCATTCTCTGCATTAGGGTTTGCCAAAATATTGGGCCCATGTCTAAGGTTACAGGGAGGAGGAGGCTGAAGTGGAAGCAGATTGTTTTCTTATCTCTGTAGCCTGCTGTCTCTTAAGCTCATTTGTCTCAGATTTGGGGCCTAGGCTAATGACACTTGTTGTCTTAAAGGCATAGCTCAAGAGATAACAAAGCTAGCCATCTCTTCTCAGTGTTGGTCTCTATAGAAAGGCATTTCTAGCTAACTTTGGGTTTACCATGTACAGTCTCTTTGCTGGCCATCATAAATATTGGGCTCCTGAAGTTTCAGGTATATTTAAATATGTCTTTCCTTTCATTTCTCTCTTCTAGTTTCCATTTAGCAGCATCGAATTTGCCCTACAAAAGCTGAAAGACTTAGAATCGAAATCAAAAGATATCAAGCAGGTATTTGCAACTGCTGACCCTAGACACACAAAGGTTTTGGATTATAATACATTCAGGTAAGCAATATTCTGCTAGCAACCAATCTGTTTCCAGCTCAAGATTGTCTGAAGAGCACCAAGAACAGTTGCTTTCTTAGTGTCTCCTAGTCAGTTGACTATAGGCTTTTTATTAGAAATTGGCATTTTGCATTTGTATTACTTTGTGGTCAAATTTGGGCTATTAATATTCTAGTAAGCTTTATATTATAAGTTTTTAGGTAGGAACAGAGACTGAAGGAAGGTTAGGAAGTCAGATGCTCACATTGTCTTGTAAATCATGGTGTTGAAAGATCCAAGGAATGCTGGGAATGGTGCATCTGAATGATAAAGGTAGAAAAAAGTTCAGTTAAGAGTTCCCTCCAAAATCTGGGAGACAGAGAAGGGCTATATCCCTAGGAATGCAATAAAGTTGGAAAAGATAATGAAAACTTTACTGATTAGCAAGAGAAAAGGTGATGTGTATGTATCTGTGTATATGTATTCTCATATATAGATTCTAAAGACAAAAACATAGGAATTGAAGGGGAAAATCTGACCGTAGTTGGACATTTCATTAAAAAATTATGAACAATAAAGGTTTTCTCTAAGGTAAAGCTGAATCCCGTGACTGTTCAGTGACTGACCTAGGCAAACTTCCAAACAGCAGAAACACAGAGAAATTCAAATTCAGGGTCTAAGTACAATTGTGAGACTTCTTAGCTTGAAAACAAAGTGAACAGAGCCTTCAGGAGAATGTAAATTAAATCATGGATGGAGGACAAAGGGGACATTCTCTTTAGGCTGAGAATTCTGGCTTCTGAAAACAATAGTGGCTGAAAGCTATATAGTAAACTGGGCTTGATGCAGTCAAGATGTGCACTGAGAAATGAGGAAGCTAGCCCAGGCAAGGGTAGCAGGGAGGTCTTTCCAACTTTGTGTCTACAGTTGCCTGTTGCATCACTACCTGGTGGCCTGGAGCCACCAGGAGGCCCACAGTGCCCTAAGAGCTCATTTGTTGTTTTAACAAAGCTCTTTTGTGTGTCTAAAATGTTCTTTGGAGAGAAGCAGTCAGAGGACATATTTTTATTGTTTAGAATTCCCAACCTTCTGGGATCAATAAGAATTTATAGTCCTTTGTTATTGTTCATAGTCACATACACATACTCATGGTGTTTTGGAAAATAAATGGAGGCAGAATAAAGAGCAAAGATAATTAATTACTCAGGCCATGGACTAATGGAAAGCAGTGGAGGAGAAAACAAGAAATTTCCATCAGAAATGAGGGAGCGGTTTTGTTTTATTATTTTGTGTCCTTTTACAAAAGCATCCATTCTCCCAGTACTCTTGCAAAGTCTATTGGAGTTCATGGGGACTTTTTGGGAAGCATTTACGCCAAGCAGGATCTCTAACCAGGAGAAATTGCTCTGCAGATGGAGACCACACTGCTATTGGAGGGGTGGCCTGAAGGCACTGCATGCTCAGAAAGAAAAAGCTCCCCATCCCAGAAATTCCTTAAGACTAAAATCACCTTAGGTTATGCCTGGCCTGAAGAAATCCTCCAGTGGCTTGCCATTGTCCTTATAATAAGATCCAAATATTTGACTGCAGCCAATAGGATTCTGTTTATAGTTCCAGCATCGACACTTCTTTTTCTCCAGCCCTGTTCTTTGGCCTCCCTGGTTGCTTTTCAGTTTCTCAAGCACATCCAGCTCTTTTCCTGCATCCATGCCTGTGCATGTGCACTTCTCTCTGCTAGGAAGGTCCCCATCATCATCCTTTCCATGTAAATCCTAGGACTCATCCCCAGAGGGGCTTTTTTTTCCTCTATCCTATCTAAAGTAATCAAGAAAAGAGATTTATGTAGCTCACAATTTGAGAAGTTCAAAGGCATGGTACCAGTATCAGTTCAGCTCTAGTGAGGATCTCATGTCAGATACAGCATCATGGTGGAGAACATGTAGGAGAGATCGCATGGCAAAATAGAAAGCCATAGAGTGGGAAGGGACCAGTCTTTCTTTTTCATAATAACCCTCTCATGAGAACTAACCAGGGTCCAATTGATACTGGTCTTGAAAATCAGGATCTCAGGATCAGGCCCTCATTCCCCTGTTGTTAAAGATTAAATACCTGAGAACAGAGAGAGACAGACAGACAGATACACAACACACACACACACACACACACACACACACACACACACACACACACCCCTCCAGAGAGGAGGGAGCCCAGAGATGATACCTAAGGGAGTGGGGTATCTTGTCCCTTTTATAGATTTCAGTTTCCCTAGGTTTCCTTTCTTCTCATGCTTACATGACCAAAAGGCAGGAAGAGAGCCATCCAGGGGGTGATTGCTTGTGTTATGTAAGTATGATCCTCTCCCACCCCCAGGCTATTGCTGTCTACCCATTTCCTTTTCTTTTTAAAAATTTGTTCTAAGTAGTTATATATACATGACAGTAGAATGCATTTGACACATCATACATAAATGGAGTATAACTTTTCATTCTTCTGGTTGTACATGATGTAGAATCACACCGGTCCTGTAGTCATACATGCACATAGGGTAAGAATGTCTGATTCATCCTGCTATCTTTCCTACCCCCATACTCCCTCTCCTCCCTTCACTCCCCTCTGTCTAATCCAAAGTACCTCTATTTTTCCCTAGCTCCCCATCTGCCCCCATTGTGAATTAGCATCACATATTAGAGAAAACATTTGGCCTTTGGTTTTGGGGGATTGGCTTGTTTTACTTAGCATGTTATTCTCCAGCTCCATCCATTTACCTGCAAATGCCATAATTTCATTCTTCATTAAGGCTGAGTAATATTCCATTGTGTATATATACCACATTTTCTTGATCCATTCATCTGTTGAAGGGCATCTAAGTTGGTTTAACCTATTGTGAATTGAGCTGCTATAAACATTGATGTGGCTGCGTCACTGGTCACTGTAAGTATGCTGATTTTAAGTCCTTTTACCCATGTCCTTTTCTTTGATAATCAGCTACCAGTTCTTTGCCCCATCTCATGATGAGAGCTACATTAATCACTTCCCGGGCAGTGCCCCCAGAGACCAAATCACCTCCCATTAGGCCTTACCTCGCAAAGGTCCTATCACCTCTCACATTACCATACTGGAAACCAGGGTTCTAAATACATCTGCACTTGAGGGGCAAATCACATATAAACTGTAGCAGTCTCCAAATGGGAGTATAGACCAGGAGTCAAGATGTCCTGGATCATATAACATGTTTGGGGTTGGATACTCACTGAGTTCTCTGGGCTTGGGTCTGCCACTGTGTTTGGCCCACAAGTGTGGCCCCTGCACGTTGTATTCAGACCTCTCTTTTGCTCCCCACACCCTTGCCTATACAAAGACAAAGGAACTACATATCTAGTTACTTTTCATATCATATTCTAATCTTATCCTTTGCTCTCTAGCTAATATTTTTCTTTCTTTTATTTGTGTGTTTGTGTGGGGGGGGGGCTCCTCTCATCAGAAGGTAATCTCTTTGAGAGTGGAGACCTTCTGTCTGTTGTTTTCTGCTTTAATCTTATCGCAGTGTTAATAAATGTTAGTTGAGTGGCTACATTTTGTTTAGCCTGACTGCTTTGGCTCTCACCAATAGGTTGATGTCTCCATTTTAGTTCCTCATTCTCAGACCCTTATCCAGAATGATAGACTTGAAAATACAGACATCTCTGGGATCTCTCCCCTTTGAATATTCCTTAGGCTTCCTGAAATAACTTCCCTTAAATTGACCTCATTTTCTTCTTTCAGATAATTGCAGCTCGGGATGCTATCTTGGTAAAGTTTACTATATGTGTTCCCAGAACCCAAGCCTGGGTTCAGCTTGTCTCTCCCCTCCCTCCTATCTCCACCTTTCCCATCCATCATATGGAATTGAACGCTTTGGAAACTTTGCTTACCAACCATTCCCAGCTTCATTTGCATCACAGTTTCCTCTGACCTCCTGGAGAGCTGCAGAACTGATCTTTTCTTAACTCTCATCCTGCAAAGTTTTGTTATAGTGACCTTCCTGAAGTCTGATTAGGTCATTCTTGTGCTCTGAACTCTGCATCAGCTCCCCATTGCTTGCAGGACTAATTCCAGCTTCTCAGCATATCATGTGAGATCTGGCCCTTGTCTACCTCTTCCTCCTTATTTATATCTTGCTAGAAGGATACGTCTGTAGAAGCCACCATTTATTGAGCACTTACTATGGGCCAAGCAATGTGCCAAAATGTTTTATATCTACCATCCACTGGAAGCCCCCTATTGAGTTGTTACTTGTTTATTTCCCTGCCTCCACTATCCTGCCAAGTACAATAGATGTTTGTTGAATAATTTAATGAATGATTCTATTTCTCAAGGAACATTCAGTCTACAGCCTGCAGCAAACAAATAAATAATTGATTATCTTGCGTCAGAGAAGGGCCATCTGTCTCTGGCTTACTGGAGTCAGGGAAAGATAGACCTGACCCTCACCAGTCAAGTGACTTGGGTAAGCCAGATTCACCACCATGCATTTTGATCTGTATTATTAGTCCCTGTGGGCCTTTCTATATTTTGCTGTTCTGAAACTCTTAAAATATAGGTTTATAATACATTTATAAAGTGTTCCCTTTTCAAATTTGTGTGTTGAAATCATAGAGAAGAGTAGAGACAAGCAAAGATGGATTGTTAGGCTTCTGTCCAGTGTAGCTCCCTGGCCTTCTCAGTATATTCTTAGTGCCTCAGAGCCCAGACCTGCTGTGTTGTCCAAGCCCTGGCATTCGACTTTCTTCTCTCTCAGGAAAACCTCTCAGGAAAACCTCAAAGATAGGAGCCAGTAAACTACCTCTGCACAATAGATTAACAGGTAGGCCTCTCAGAGACATTGGTCTTAGGATAGACTTGATGGATGCAGGGATAGGTTAAGAAACAGTAGAGAGTGGTTCTGCTTTTTTCACATGGGCAGGGAACATTTTTCTTTGGCTTTGTGAGGGTCACCCACTCTGCCTCTACCTAGATCTGTTTCTCTGCAACCCTTTCTT